AATGATGAGCAGTGATGAGCAGTGGCTCCACAACCTCCACCACCCTGGTCCCACGACAAGGGATGGCATTTCTATATCAGCACCAAATACCTCTGTGCATGGGGAACTAAGGCACAGATCAGAGATGGCTTATGATGATGCTAAACCAAAATCTAGCTCCAAAAATCTCCTGGATCTGTACTCCAAAACTCTCTCCTCTTGAGCATTAAGCTTACATCCATCAGTTGGGCTGGAGAGTGTAGCCAAACCCAAGTTATGTCACTTGCCCAGTCAACAGGGACAGGCAGGAGATGTGCTGGCACCAAGACATGTTGGTGGAGGAACAGGAATACCAGCCCAGGGGGTGCAGCATGCACTGAAATGGCTGCTTATGCCAAACCTCTGGGGACAGAGGAGCCCTCTCCTGTGACTGCTCCTCATGCTGTCTCAAACTTACCTGGATGCTGGAGGTTTGGCATAAGGAAGTTGCTGAAAGCAAACACTGTCTAGTGCAGATGTCGTGGGTGACCCCAAAAAAGTGCTGTGCTTCCATGTCCTTTCCTAAAAGCATGCTAGGGCCCTTCCCCACAAGAAGGACATGGAGGGGCTGCAGCATTCCAGCCTATCATTTGCCACCTCATTTGGCATCTCCTCTGGTCCAGCAGCTCATCCAAAGGGAACAGAACATAGCCCTGACCACACCTGTCTCCAAAGACCCACTGACCTTCACTGGATGGAGCAATGGCACTGTCATCCCATTCCAAGTTGGTGGAGGTGACTGAGTTGAAGGAGTTGAGGGACAGGCTGTCTGAGCCATGCACGGAGCTGGGCAGGCGCTCCTCAAAGTCCAGCAGGTACTGAGGTTTATAGTAATCTGGCATGTATGGGGCCAGGTCCAGGTAAGGAGCATCCTGTGGAGAAGAGAGCATGGGGTGAGTCAGGCTGAGTCACCACACCCAGTTGTTAGCACAGTCCAAGTGACAGGGCTGTCCTTGAATGTCCTCTGACTGTCCCTTCCTGCCACCCTTCAGAGGAAACTGAGGGTTGGCCAGTGGCTCTGAGTGCACCTGGAGGGACACCAGCCCCTTCATCCTCACCCACCTGCCCCACAGCTGGCTTCATACATCACATCATATCATGGGTTGGGTGGGAAGGGACCTTAAAGATCATCTAGATCCAACCCCTCTGCATGGGCAGGGACACCTCCCACCAGACCAGGTTGCTCCAAGCCCCATCCAACCTGCCCTTCAACACTGCCAGGGATGGGGCAGCCACAGCTTCCCTGGGCAACCTGGGCCAGGCTCTCACCACCCTCACACCAAAGAATTTCCTCCTCATGTCCAACTTCAATCTCCCCTCTCCCAGTTTCAATCCATTCCCCCTCATCCCATCCCTCCCTGCCCTTGTCCCAGGTCCCTCCCCAGCTTTCCTGGAGCCCCTTCAGGCACTGGAAGGTGCTCTAAGGTCTCCCTGGAGCCTTCTCTTCTCCAGGCTGAACACCCCAACTCTCCCAGCCTGGCTCCAGAGCAGAGCTGCTCCAGCCCTTGGATCATCTCCGTGGCCTCCTCTGGCCTCTCTCCAACAGCTCCATGTCCTTCTTGTTTTGGGGACCCCAGAACTGGCCCCAGCCCTGCAGGGGGGTCTCACCAGAGCTAAGCAGAGGGGACAATCCCCTCCCTGGCCCTGCTGGTCACACTGCTGGTGACACAGCCCAGGACATGTTTGGTTTCTGGGCTCCAGCACACAGGGCCAGTTTCCTCACCCCTGCCTTGCTCCTCATCTGAGCCCTGCATAGGAGTAACTCAGCAATAGGAACAAACCTCATTGCTGAACCTCCAGAGACCCCAGCCTAGAGCCTTTCCTAAAAGCAGCAGCTGCATGTTTTCAGCTGAAGGCCTTGTTAGAAGGTACACCCTGAACCAAACAGTGGGACCTGTGACACCCAGGATTCCCCCTGCTCCCATACCTGCTCTCCCAGAGCCAAGAGAAAGAGATAAATCACTCACCAGATCCAAGTCAAAGCGGATGAACTCCAGCCCAGACACCAGTGTTAAGAACAAAGTCAGATGATCATGGCTGCAAACCAGGTCATTCCTGCAGCGTGGATAAAACAGAAGGGCTTTAGAGATGTGGGAAAGAGAAGAAACAGCTCCAAGTGTCCTGGTTTCTTGGTGGTGTGTCTCTGAGCTGCCACATACACAGCCCCAGGGATGTCAGCCTGCTGGTGGCCTCCTAGGGGCAGTGGCAGAGCTTAAGGGCAGGTATATGTGGCTCAGAGCAGATGGGCATCCACTATGTACTGGCCCTGAACTAAGCTACAGCCAGATTTCCAGGCATGCAGTGGAGCTGGGTCCCTGGAGTAGAGCTTGGCAGCTTCCTGGGAAATGTAGAAGAAAATAAAGGCTACATCTGGGACTGGGAGTAAAAGCAGTAACTAGAAGAGATGCTTGCAAGGCCTCTTAGATGGAACAGTGTGTCCACACCTGAGGCCTTTCAACTATTCATGCAAAAACTTTGCAAAACCCACAGGGAAAAAGCAGACCCTGAACAACTGCTTGTTCCCCACTGGCAAATTAGAACTTGCTTCCAACAAGAAGGGTTGCCAACCAGTGTCCAAACAAGAACCTGGGACACTCACTTGACGTAATACTTGTGCAGCAGGCTCAGGTTCTCCTGGAACAGCCTCAAATAGCTCTCCAAGGAGTTTTCATTGAGGGCCAGGTACAGCCATGCCCGGCCTGAAAAGAAAGGAGCAGAGAGATTTATTTGTGAGGAAAAGCCTGAGAAGCAAATCAAGCCTGGAAATAATCCCAGGTCAGTAAAAACACTTTAGATTGTTCATTTGCATTCATATCATTTCAGAGGAGTGACTAAGCATTGGGGAAATCTGTGGGGGAAAATGTCAGTGGGAGATGAAGGTCATGATTTGGAGTGGGAATAAGAATCAGAGGCTGTGTGGTAGCTGGTTGAGAAGCAGACACAGAGTTGTGTCTCTGCAGAGATGGGAGCCCTGCTGGCACTTCCAGCAGGGATCAGGAGACGGGAGAGCCAGAGGGAGAATCGCTCTGAATCAGCAGAGGTACAATCTGGGATGTCACACACACCCTGGTGCAGAGAGAGGTGGTGGGGGAGGCAGCTGGGAACCTCTGCTCTCAGCAGTACAGGGCTTGGGAGATGGAGGGTGTTTGGATCACCAGGCAGAGGAGGTCTCTGGGCACCGTCCAGCGTCAGAGCGGCCTCAAGGGTCCCAAACATCTACTACAGGCACTTGCAGAGGGGGAGAAGCAGTGTTGGGGAAAACAACAGCTACAGGCAGACATTGTGGGGCAAGAGAGGTGATGACTTCCCTCCTGCCAGAAGCCCTTCCCCAGGGCACAGCCCAGCTCTGGTTTCACAGCAGAAGCAGGGCTACACCTTTGACCCAACACCCCATCCTGGACACAGTGCAATTATTTCTACAGCCAGGACTCGCACCTCCTTGGTGAGGACAAGCTGGACTCAGCAAGCAGCTCCCTGCTGGCTGCCTTGGTCTGCCTGCAGCTCCAAGCCTTCAACATGTATCCAGGTATTCCCAAAGCGAGGTCAGCCCTGGGAGCCAGGGCAGTGTCTGTGAATACTCACTGCGTCCCAGGTTGGTGGCCACATGCTGAAGGACCTCGATCTGTTTGATGGCTTCACGGCGGGTGAAGTGAACAACCAGCACCCAGTAGCCTGAGGAAAGATCTTGCAGGCTGCAAGAAGGAAGAAGCCCAGAGGAAGGTTAAGCAAAGGGCTTTGTTATTTCCATCCCAGTTACCACCCAGATGGTTTCCCCAATGCTGAGGCTACAGGCCAGGAGAGGCGTGGAGGGAAGCAGCCCAGCAGCCCAGGCTCCTGGCTCACCCGTAGAGCAGAGCATGGTCCAGATGTTCACAGAGTCGCTGAAGGACCTTGTCGTGGTTCCTGATGGCCGGTGTCTCATCTTCACAGGCAGCAAAGTAGCTCTGCAACTGCAGAGAAGAGATGGGAGAGCTCAAACACCTTCTGCAGCCCACCAAGGGGGCAGGTGGAGATGCCGACACACTCACGGCCAGCATTAAACAGCTTTTTCACCTCTCAGCTTGCTAAACCTCCATGTAGGTTACTTAAGGGGTGTAGCAGTTGGTTTCAAGGCAGTAAAGTCAGAGGAGAACCTCACCCACAGAGATCTCCCCATGTTTCAGAAATATGCTAGCAGCCTGGCCGTGGTTGCACAGCCAACTTCCCTGTCTGTGGAGCAGGCAGGCTGGGCTGCCCAGCTGACACCACAGCAGGGGGGTGGTGGTTCCTCTTCAGGGTGCAGCCCCCAGAAAGCCCCTCAGAACAGAAAGAAATCAAGGCTGTGGGCTCTGTTTCTAGCTCTGCCATGGGACTGAGTCCCCTCCTCAAACTCAGAGAAACCCTGGTTGGGGAGAGAAGTTTCTTCGAGGTATAAAAGGTGCTCTAAGTCAATGTCACGTGCCCTATGCTAAACGTGTGTGAAATCAGAGCAGCTTCAGCATCCTGGGAAGAGATGGAAGACTTCTTGTTCTGGGCAGCCCAAGTGATTGTCACAATGCTGGGTACTGCTGCCAGGCAGCTGACAGGTGGGGTCTCACAAGAGCTGAGTAAAGGAGGAGAATCCCCTCTCTGGCCCTGCTGGTCACGCTGCTGGTGACACAGCCCAGGACACGGTTGGTTTCTGGGCTGCAAGTGCACACAGCTGCCCCATGCTGAGCATCTTATCTACCATCAATCCCAAGTTGTCACATAACATAGCTACCACTTTCTCAAAGCTCAGGGAAGCTCTTCACTCAGCCTCAGTTAACCTGTTCACAGCTGCCAAGTTAGCCCTGAGGCTGGTGCCTGCCCCGTGACAATGGGCTCCACTCAGCGTAAATTGCTTTTCTACTTCTGCAAAACCCACAGGAAATCCTAGAAATCCCCTTACACCCAAATCCTATATCCCTCCCCAGCCAACCCACTGGCCTTCTCCTGCTCCTACAGCTTATTTAGGTGCCCATCTGGCACATACTTCATGTTCAGACAGGGAGATTACTCCTCCAGGGGGTAATCTCTGCTGTACAGGACACTTTAGTTGCTCTGGCTGGTGACAAGCAAGCCCGTGTCACCCGTGTGTACATTATTTTGGTGACTTGGTATGTCTTTACCAAATCTCACAAGGTAGATTAAAAAAAAACAACAACAAACAAAAACAACCAAAAAAGTTGACAGGAATGTGCTTGTTGAATCTGACCTGTCCCCAGAAACTGGTTTCTCCTCTTGAGTCATTGCTTAAGGTCCTTTAGAAAAATTATCCAGTCTCCATGTAAAAGTTATCAAAGGGACAGAGAACACTTCACAGCTCCTGGGAACCATTCCCAACAACACTCTATCCAGCTCCCAACACCCTCCTGGCTTGAAGACCTTGACTGGAGCTCTTAGGTAAGATGGGAGAGCCAGGCATGTTCCCACATGGAGCTGGTCCCAGCCCTTACGTGGGAAAGGTGATGCTGAGCAGGGATAATCACAGCCAGATTCCCTGGTCCCATCACCCAGCACAGTTCAGCCTGTCCCTGTCCCACCTAGTCCCAAAGGTTTCCCCCTTGGGAAGGAAACACACACTAACATTCTGCTTGCAGAGCCCCTCGTGGGGGCTCCAGGGATGCAGATTCTCATGACACCCAGAAAAGACCTGACGTGTTTCAGCTCAGCAGCTCTCATCCATTTTTGGGAGGAATCTGAGCTATTAATAGGCAGCTCAGACCCAAGCAGGGAGAATGCCCTAAAATCCCACTATTCAAGAACTATTTCAGGAGGTACTTGCAGCCAGTCTTCTAAGCTGCAGCAAGGACACCAGAAGAAACAAAGTCATCATTTAGAACTGTGTCCCTCAGGAGACAGATAGATGAAGCCATAGGGGATGGTCTCTGTCACCAAGAGCTGTCTGGAGCTCACTAAAATATCCCAATTTGGAGAGGATGAGGCAGGAAGCAAAGTCCCTGCCATATGGGACGTGAGCCAGGATTCAAGGGCAGAAATGCCCAGCTTGTCCAAACCAGGTTGTAGCCTCTGGAGAGAGCTGGGGTACCCTTGGATGAGGAGTTTTGTCCTGGGTGTTTCTGCTGCCTTGAGGAAATGCAGCTGTGGGAGGCAGCCAGGGTAATACAAAAATAACCTGGCTCTACACAAGCTTACCCTGAAAAACAGGGAGAGATAGACACAGCTCAGGGAGGTCATCCTGAGGAGAACTTGGAGCCTGTGCTGCCAGCTGGAGGAATTCCCCATGACAGAGGCTCCAAGACTGGGCAGCAAAACAGAGGAGCAAATAGAAGTATTTCCTCTTTTTTCTTTCCTTCCTTCTCAAAAAATAATGTAGATCTTTGCTCCAGTCCTTCCTGCTGCCAGTTCACAGCTCACAACCCTCTCCATTGCTACATGGACCGACCTGCTCCCACCATCAGAGGATGCAAACAGCCCTTGTCTCATCTCAGCACCTCCAAACATCAAGAGGCATCAAGCAATTTCTGAAAACCAGGTTTCTCTTCTCTAGAAAAGCCGAATCTCCTCCCCACAAAGGTTCTGAAGGGCTTGTTCAAACCCAGGTGTTACTTGTAGCTGCTCTGCAGGGTGCAGGCAGCCTCCTGCCCTGCACAGAGCAGCCACCCCTGCATTGCATCCCCTTCTTGGGGAGGCAGCTGGAAAACCTGTCCCCACAGTCATGTCCAGAGCAAACCTACCCCAAAAGTCTGTCCCTCTGCAACATCAGGAACCAGAGGTCAAGCTGGTGTGACTGTGCTTTGCTCAGTGTCACATGGTCACAGCAGCCCTGTGCACACTCAGCAGTTTCAGATTTGGGTGCTCTGAGTCACATTTGAGGAGCTGTTGGTCACAGGGAAGTGCAACAAGGGCTCATCCCTTCCCACAGGCACAAAGATGTGCCACCACATTCCCTGGATGGTGCCACATCAAGAGACAGTGCCACTTCCAAGCATCCCTCCAAGCCCTGAGCAAAGGACCTGCAGGGCTTGCTGGAGCACAACCCCCAAAAAGAGACTGTGCAGGAGAATCCTCACTGAGCCACCACGTGTCCAGGGAGGAAACAAGCCAGAACAAGCCTTGGAATCTCCTGGGTTGAGTCATCCCTGCAGTGAGGGTGGTAAAGGGCTGTGAGTTGCAAAAGCTGATGGGGGAGGTGTTCTGGGCTTGGGAAGAAGGGTGAAGACACACATAGAAGAGAGGTACAATGAAACAGCTTTCCCAGTTGGAGAACATCATTTCCCAAAGTTGCATCATTTCCCAAAGGGCCACCTAGCTGAAAATTCATAGGAATAATGACCACAAGCATCTTAGGGCAGAGGCACAGACCATGGATGGTCCCAGCACAGGCAGGAATGATGTGGCACTGCCCTTGAAAAATGGCATTTACCTGGAGTGTTTCTTTCTCTCCTGTAAATGGCTACAAAGCTCAAATGAATAATTTGAACCCAACCTCTCCCAAAACATGGCGTGGCAGATGGACCTGTTTGGGAGGTGGTGACCAAACTTGATGACACATCCACAAAGCAGCTCCCTGACATTCCTGAGCAGAGAGCTGGGGAAAATCAGGAAGGAGGTAAGTGATCCAGTTAAAAACCATTACCTGAATGTGATTCCTGTCACCTCTGGCTTTTTCAGACACATGCTTTTGCCTGCATCTCCTCTGCACTCCAGCACCAGACAGAAGGGTTGGAGGCTGGCAAAGGCCTCCAGCCCTGACCCGGGGCTATTTATAGACATTCCTGTGGCCAAAATAAGTGCTGTGGGCATGCAGGAGGCATCCCCACCCTGCACTGGGACCCAGCACTGGTGTTGCAACAGTGTGGGACACAACCTGCTGGGGTGAACTGGTTACAATCACCCAAACGTTCCAGACTGGGGAGTTCAACACACTTGAGAAGAAAGCAGAGCAGGTGTCCATCCAAAAAGGACACAAAGATGGTTCACACCAGGGGGGGAGGACACAGGGTCTGCACTCTGAACAACTCCACATCATCCCCATCAAAGAGAGGGTGGATTTAATTGTGTTTATCAATCAGGAGTTAATTTTTTTTTCAGTGATACACCACGCCCTGCTCTGGCATACACCTGAAAGGATATTCCTTGCACAATTTTACAGCCTATTAATTGCACCAGTTCTCAGGGAGTGTGAAGCTCTCCAGGCTCATTTGCAGAGCTGCTGTGTTGCAAGAGATGCCAAAAAAACAATGGGGCAGGCACGCTTTAAAGTCCATTCTCCCAATCTAATGATTCTTGTGGTGCTCCTTTGAAATATCTCCAGTATTTCCACAACCTTCTTGAAATACTGAATTCCAGTCTCCTGACCTGCTCACAGATGGCCACAACCCAGCCAAGCCTCCACCTCCCCTCCATAAATCCATCCCATAGATGTTGCAGCAGCAGATTTCCAACACCAAGTATATTTCCCTTGTTCTGCTTGGTACTTCCCTGGCAGGATAAACAATGGTGGAAGAAAAGCAAAGCAAAAAGTCCTTGCATTCCACCAGCTCCCCAACCACAGTACCTGGTGCATGGGAAAGGAGAGAGGCACTTGGAAGCCAATTTTCCCATCCCAAGCACACGGACTGTGCAGGGTTTTCCTCAGCTGCAGGAACACAAAACAAAAGCAGCATCAGGAAGCAGCAGGTGGACAGCTAAAACCTAACAGAATCATAGAATCATCATGGAATTGTTTGGGTTGGAGGGACCTTAAAGACCATCCAGTCCCAACTCCCCTGCATGGGCAGGGACACCTCCCACCAGACCAGGTTGCTCCAAGCCCCATCCAACCTGCCCTTCAACACCCCCAGGGATGGGGCAGCCACAGCTCCCCTGGGCAACCTGGGCCAGGGTCTCACCACCCTCACAGCAAAGAATTTCCTCCTCATGTTCAACCTCAATCTCCTCTCTTCCAGTTTTAATCCATCTCCCCTCATCCTATCCCTCCCTGCCC